TGATTAGCCAACACTAGCTAGTGAAGTTTAAAGTGATTTGCTAAATTTCTACCACCAAAGTTGTCATTTATGCTGTCCATTTGGGTCACAGGCCAATCCAGATGACCTTTTTCCACTTGTATTCATGCACACTATGGGAACTGTAGCTCCCAGAATAAGCATGGAGGATTCTCCCAAGGACTCTTGAGTTGCCTCTTCTGGAGGTTTCTAAATATTCTTTTCAGGGACACTTGATCCAGTGTGTTGGGGACAGTCATTTGAAACATGTGATGCTCTCTAACCATTGTCCCTTGTATTTATGTTCATGCCTCATGTTCACAAAAGGAGCAGCCTGGGTTTGGAGGGTTGCCCAACTGGATGGGGAGAATAAGCATCGTTTAGCACAACAGAAAGGAGCCAATGTTTGGTCCCTCAAGATGGGCAGGTTTCTTGAGTAAAACTAAAAAGTCCCTGCAAAGCAAGAACAGGCTGCTTTATTGTGGCTCAAAGAGATCCCATGCCAGTTCCCCTTCCCGATGGGCTGGATTTGGCCAATAGGATTGTAATGGTCTCCACAGAAACATCTCACAGAAGTGGGATCAAGGTTCGATTTGTAAGACCCAAGTTTTTAATTTATGATGCAAGGGCACTTCAAGAACCAGAAGGAGCCTGTTGAAGGGACTCTACCTTCAGAGGAAAGTTGTTCAATTTTGTTAATAATGAGTTAAATTCGGAACAGTAACCAACATTGGGGGTGGGTGGGGAACTATATGAGAATTTCATTTTTCTTAAGTGGCTGAAGAACAAAGAGTAAAAATAAGTGGGATAAAGGTAAGGGAGACCTCCACATTGAGAGGACAGAGGGCCTCAGAGGACAAAAATAGGCAACAGATGGTTTGAACCCAAACCTCAAGTCCCTTTGCAGATCATCCAAATGGGCTATTCATTACTCATGTTCCAGCTAGTTGAACACAGTTTTATAGTTGCATAGCTTTTATTTTTAAACAGTGTAACTCATAAAACCAATGGGAACTTTAACAGTGGTCTTGTTCTCAGCAGTGGGTGGCACTACCCACCTATCTATGGTAAATTGATTATTATTTAAAGACTGAGCTGATCAAAATCTTCTAATCTTGGAGTTAACGCGTTTTCTTATTTCACAAATATTGTTTAAAAAGGCTATACATGTTAGGTATAACATCCACAAAAAGAAGCACAGTTGGATGACTTTCTTTTTGGATATTTTTGGACTGTTTATTCTGGACCCTAGGTATCTTAGAACACACCCTCAACGGTGCTATTTCCAACCAGTTATCTTTGCAGTTTCTCAAGAGAGGAAAAAAATAGAGGGACAGGAACACACAAGCAAACAAAATATGAGGGGCTGGTTTCCAATAAGAAATTATCACTCTAAGGCTAAATGTTCCTTCCATAGAGAGAGTTATGAAAAGATGGTTAGAAGAAAAATGGATTTTGACATAGGTGCTCAAACGCTACTGTGTCAACATTGTCTTGTGATAAAAAAAAGCCAGCACTTATTAATCCCTGAAGTAAGGTAACAAAGGAGGAGGGTTGGGGCTCCTACATTAAACACAATGATCTTTCTTTCTGCCGCATGGTACCAATGAACAATCTTGCTTGTGTCAAAATTCCCCCACGGTGGCCCTTATATTTCCAAATTGCCTCTTAAGGACTTGTGTAAATGAAATAAGATGAATTAGCAGGATAGGGAGAAAGTGTAAAGCCCAGAAGAGTGCCATTTTAGAAGAAGAAAGCCCTAGGGAAACCCTAGCCATCTGTAAGGACACTGTGTCCCTGGAGCTTGGTCTAAGGTCAAAGGCAGGTTGTCAAAAATGAGCATTCAGTCAAAAATCCTTCTGATGCCACAGCACAAAGACAGGACCCAGGGGGAAGCCTTCATAAAGTTTTGAAATGATGACCTGGGGTAAAATTGGTCCCAAAAGGATGCTGGTCAGGGGGTCTTCTGAACTCCACAGTCCCTGAGACCAGCTCCAGGGTCGACTTCTTAGGGCTAAGTCTGCGCTCTTCCTGCTGACTTAGAGATAACACCTAATGCATCAGACAAGTAGCTAGGGATAGGAGCAGTCCTTAGAAGACTGGATGGCAATGAATGCCATCACCAAGTGACAATCTCTGGGTTCAAGGAGAGCCTCTTGGTTCAGTGGGCTTTGCAGGGCAATCTCTGTTTCTGCCAAAACTCTCTACCTGAAAACCACAGAGAACACACCTGCAGTTGAACTGAGTTGTTCTTATGGACTTGTTCCAAGAAGGAAGAACCTGCTCCATTGATGTTAGATCCACTTACACACCTGGGCTTGTGCCTGGGGCCGGGAGGGTTAGGAAGGATGGGGCCTTTCTCTGGGTTGGGTATTTTCAGTAAGCAGGATGATGCTACTACAATTGTGTTAATGATTCTTACCTAGAGAGCAAGAGGAACGGAGCAAGGTTCAAGTTGCACTTGTTGAAGAAGCTCCATCATCATTATTAGCTGGGATGGAGAGATGGTTGATGTTTTTGTGATTTGCACAATGACCTTTTTTTTTTTTGGTCTGCTTAGACAGATTAGTGTTTTCTTGGTTTCATTTTGTGGTCACAGAGTGACTGTCTCTGATGGTGGGATCCACGAGATTGTCTGTGTCCAACAAAACACAGAATGCCTTGGCCCTAGTGCTCAAGGGAGCGCCTACCAATGCTGAGGCCTAGTTGTGCATGTCAGACTAGTTCTTGAATTTCACACACACACACCAATTCTTAAGTATTGATGGGGGACTCAGAGTAGAGAATGTTATGTTATGATTTTTTTTAGTATTACATATACCACCAGTGTGACTGTGTATAAATCACTTAGCTTCTTTGTTCTCTCTCTCTCTCTCTCTCTCTCTCTCTGCATATAAATATGGATTTGTCAAATGGAAATGAAGCAAGTGATTCTTAGATTGATGCTTTTCTTGGAGTCACTGGAAAACTTAGCCACTGAGAAAATAACTAAGATACTGAAAGCAAGCAGGCAACATTCCTGATCAACTGAAATAAAAGCCCCAAGTACCTCCACATTTTTCTCAGTTTTACACAAGACCTATCTCTTTTTGTTTTGCTTTCATTTCTAGAAAGTTTGGTTATCAGGCTCATAGGACATTAGAAATGCAGGAAGTTGCTGAAGAAAGACTCTTAGAAGCGAGAGTAAGAAGAACAGCATCTTCATAGTAGGATTCATGCTACAACTCGGATGGATCTTGAAAGACGTTATGACAAATAAAAGGAGCCAGACACAAAGGACCACAGAGTGCATGATTCCAGTTCTATAAAAAAGTGCAGGAGAGGCAAATCCTGAGAGGCAAAAGGTAGATTAGTGGCTGCCAGGACTAGTGGAGGGAGGATGTGGAGTAACAATGAATGTGTTAGTCAGCTTTCCATCACTGTAACAAAGTACTTGAGATAATCAACTTATAAGGAAGGAAACTTTATTTTCTCAGAGGCTTCAGTTCATGGTCGCTTGGTCACATTGCTTTGGGCCTGTGGTGAGACAGCACATATTGGCAGGAAGCAGATGGTGAAGCAAATCTGCTCACCTCATGGCAGCTGGGAAGCAAAAGAAGCAAAGACAGGAAGGGGCGATGGTCCCTGTATCCCCTTCAAGGGCACACACCCAGTGACCTAACTTCCTGCCACTAGGTCTCACCTCTTAAGGGTCCTACTGTCTCCCAGTGGAACCACAGACTGGCAGCCAAGTCTTCAACACATGGCCTTTGGGGAATAATTAGACCCCAACCACAATAATGGGTGTGGAATTTTTTTTTTTGGAGGTGATGAAAATGTTTGGAATTAGATATTCGATGGTCATACAGCTTTGTACGTATCTAAAACCCACTTTATGTTGAATTTTAGGATATGTGAATTACACCTTAATACAAATATTTTTGAAGAAGAGCCTCAAGGTGTAGCAAGACGGCATCCAGAAGACACTATGGGAAGCTTTCCTCAAAGAGCACAGCCTTCCAGAGGAGCAGGCTCAGCCACCCTCCTGTGCCACAGCCTCAGCCAAGTGCCCACCGTCCCTGCTGGGCCCCACGCTGGCCTGAGTACTGAGGAATTCAAAGATGACTAACGCACAGTCGGGTCCCTGCACTCTGGGGAGAATGGTGCCCTAGCAATGAGAGCTCTTCCTAATAATGACCCCAAGCAAGTCGGCTTGGAAAGATCACTTTCAAGATGCTTACTTTAAAAAGACAGAGGAGTAGGTCATAAGTCATACATTTGTGAAAAAAAGATTTCAAAATCACCAGCCTTTTAAAGAAATATGAAAACTTCTGGTGCCAGGTTAACAATGTGGAACAGCTCATTTCCCAGAGAAGCCGGGGAATGAGATGGCTTCATGCATCTGTGAAAAGGCAAACATCCCCACAGGCCCCCCGACACCCTCAGAGAGCGACTGAGTCGGAATATTTCAGCCCCCACCCCCGGTTCCCTGAGCATGTGGGAGCTCGTGGTGAACGCTCCAGTTGCATTGACTTGTGTTATTTTTCCAGAAGATTCAATGTGCCTCTTACTGGGGCCTGAGAGCAGCACTGAGCTCAGGTGGCAGGAAAGGGGCTAGATGGGCGGGAATTGTAACTAGGCGTAGCAGAGTGAGGTCTGTTTGGAACTGGCCCCTTTCCCAACTCAAGGGAAGTGTTCGAAAAATGGAAATAGTCCCAAGATGAGACGGGAGTGCAGATGATCCCGCAGCAGCTCTTGCCTCTCTGAGACCCTTGCACTGATAAAGCAACCTCTTCCCAAAGTCCTATTTGCACCCCTGCAACCCTAGGGTTTCCCACCCAAGTGAGGGGCTATGGGAACTAGCAGGACTATTTCAAGGAACGCTGGGTTCCTACCCTCCACAGGCTTCGGGACATAGGGCCTGCATTTTAAAATAGACATTTTGGAGATTTTAAAAACACAATTCAAATTTGTTGCTGGAAAAGGTACCTCTGGGAGGACCGACCACTCCCATGTAAGGTGGCAGCTTTCCATGCGAGTCAGTCAACGCCTGGCGAATCCCAGTGCCTGAAAATGGAGAGAATAGTGCCTGGTGTCCTGAGTTCCTGGAGATCGTGGCCAAGCTGAGTGGGAGTCGAGGAGAACCAAAACGATGGAGCGATGGAGAGCCACTTATTGCACTGGCCGTCGTCCTTCACGGTCTCTGGCAGACGCTGGGCAGGAGCAAGAAGGGCAGGATGAAGGGAACGGAAGTCAGATGCTAGTGTGGCCATTGGTCACGCATTCCCCAGGCCCCAGACACCTTTGTGGGTCACCTTGATTTATGGGGATTTATTGTAAGGATGTGTCTGGAAATTGGGAGCCCCCCAGTGCTCAGCATGCCATAAACAGTGAGGGCAGATTGGCTTCCAGAGCCCAGGACAGGACCCCGGCTCGGCGGCAGCCGGAGGGATCTGGTCATCTCCTAAGCTGCGCAGGAAGATGGAGCTCCTCCATCGCCCAGACGGCCTCTGGCTCCTTTGTCTCTATCTCCACTGAGTGCCCCCTCCCCCCACCGACACACAGTTTCCTCTTCTTCATGGCTTCTGCTTGCCTGTGGCTCTCTCATGGTGTCTTTTAGCTTCTAGTCACACTACCAGCTGCCTTTGCTCTCACACTCCAACTTCTCGAGAGACTTCGACGAGATCTGTTGTCACCATGGCCCATGTTAGTAGCCACTTTCATGCTAGGCCACCTCTTGGGCCTCTGGCTGGCCCCCCGCTGGCTGAGTTGGCTGTAGCTCAGAAGCAGGATCACACGGGGTGGCTGCTCTTCCAGGCGGGGTGTTGGTGGGACTGTTGGTGGTGATGGGAGTGAGTGGGGGTGCCGGCGAGGCCAGGGTAGGATAAGGGGAGAGCAGGTCTCCTAAGACATGGCCGGCCTAAAGTCTTGTCCCAGCAAGACAAGTTCTGAAGCCCTCTCCGGGTATGGGGCTGCCTTGAACAGATCCCAGATGGGTCTCCACATGGTGTGGGGGAGACAGCCATGCCCACGGTACTCAGATTCTGAGATAAGTTCTCACCATTGGATGCAGTGAATGTCTCTGTCTTTCTCCCTTTTAGCGGCTCTGGAAATGAGAACAAGGAAAGGTGACAGGACAGGTTTGTGGAGTTCTCGCTGGCTGCAGAAAGTGGCCCACCGATGGCTGCCAGCCACGGGGCTCCACTGTGCCCTGTCCACCTGACATCTCAGCTCATCTGAACCTTTCCCTTTCTCACGCTAAGCTTCACCATTCTGGGGCCTGAGGGAGCATTTGGAGCCTCGAACACGATGACATGTTTGGTGAAAAATGAATGACTGGATGGATGAATGAATGGGCAGGAGCAGCTCACTCCTCGAGGGAGGACTTGGATGCTCGGGCCTGTGGGAACAGAGCCGCTCACCGCTTGACTGGGGTTCATATGGAAGGGCAGGCCCATGCCCTAGCTGTGTGCCTGGTCTTCACCACCCAGGGACTTAGACTGCAGTGCCGGGACTGGAGCACTGAGCACGACCAGAGGGAGACGGAAGAGTCTGGCAGGCGGGGGCTGCATTCCAGAAGCCAGGTTTTGGGGAAGAACTGGTGAAGGCCAGCATCCCGTAGGAGGGGAACACCACCCGCAGCGCCAAGACCCATGTGGGGCACAGGAGCTTAGAGTCAGAGTCCAAGTTGGTGCACAGTTTGGGACAAAAGCCCAAAGCCAGCAGGACCCCAGAGCAGCAAGCCGGGGGGCCAGGAGGAGAGGACACTGAGCTGCTGGGAGCTTGGCCTGTGGCTGGAGGTCAGGAGTGATGTCTTGATGGTTTAGACCCCACCTGTCTTAAAGATGCAGCTCTGGAGTCCAACATGCGTTGCCAAGCAGGCCCTTGCGGTCTGAGTCTGTGATGTGGTGTGGGGAGTGGAGGGTCTGGGTGCCCAGAGAAGCCCAGAGGATGGCCCCGTCCGCGCTCATACCGAGGGCTGGGATCCTAAGGGTCAGCAGTCCCCACTCCAGGGAGATGGCTCTGGTCTCTCTCCCGACCCTGGAGTGCTGCCCCTTTGGAAGTTGATGTGGCAGGGCCTCATCATCTCAATTTCTTGTCCTGGCAGCTTTGTGACCTCGAGGCCTCCACCAACATCAGGGACTCTGTCTTTCCATTTTCTCTCAAGACTCCCCACAGGTCCCCTGGGATCTTCTCTTGCTTCTCTATGACCCCTTGCGTCACCTCCCTCTGCGGGACCTCAACCCAGTGTGGTGGATCACGAAACTAACTCTGATTCTTGACCCTGATCCAGCCCGATGCCTTCTCGGCTCCTGCCTGGGTGGTGGAGAGCTGCTCAGGGTCATAGGACCTGGTGGACGGAGGCCAGCACAGGATTGCAAAGTCCTCAATGTTGCCCACGGGTCCTTCTGTAGGGTCCCGTGGGCAACAGCTCTCTGTTCTGCTCCCCACGCTAGACGTGGCCAACCTTCCCCGTCCCCTAAGCCTGCTTCCTACCCACTTGACCCCGCCACCCTAATTCCCAGCCACCTCCCTCCTCTTCTCCAAGGTGAGAGTCAGTTTCCTCACGGGGTGGAGTCTTCTCTCTTGCTGGCCCGGCCCCCTTCTGGCCACTTGACAGCTCCTCCTCCCATCATGTGCAGAGGGTTCTTTCTTTTGGGCAAAGCTGATCTCTCCCCATGGCCCCTCCTCCTGCCCCCCTCTTCACAGGGCGCTCTTCCCACTGGGGACTCTCGTGTCTTAACTCTCTCCCTCACCGTCAGCTCTTTCCCCATTGGCATCTCAACGCACGATCCTGGCTCTTTCGGTAGAAATTCCAGCCCGACCCTCTCTCCACCCTCAGTCCTCTGAACCCCGGGCCCACCCCCACTTCTCTTTACGGTCGGTCGGAGCTCTTGAAAGCCTGGTCTGCCTTTCTCGTCAATGTGGCGTCCCCCACCCTTTCGCTTGTCAACCCTCACGATGACATTCATAGTTCCTTCCTGGCCCCAAGAAGGTTCTGAGCGCGTCCTAGAACTGAAATCATTGCTGGCCTCTGTGTCCAGCCCAGTGGACTCTACTTCTCAGACCTCACAAACCTAGAAGCCTCTAAAGGGGAGCCCATTGGCTCTCCACCCCCAGAACACCCTCCTGCTCCACTTCCCTGACGGTGCCGGCTCCTTGCTTCCCTTCTGTCTCTCTAGACGGTCTTTTCCAGTCTCCTTCCTAACATCTGCTTCCTCTGTCACCTCACTGAAAGTCAGGGGTAGGGGAGGGGCCCTCCAGGCTCCAAGACGGATCAACTGTGGTCTCTTTGGTGAAGCGAATTCTTTTTCAAAGGCGCGACTACTGTTGAGATGACTCCCTGTTAGGGTCAGAAACCCAGGTGGCCTTCCTGAGGCCAGGGCTGTGCCACCACCTGTCACCCAGGCTAGGCCCCAAAAGAAACTTCTCCCTCCACCCCCTAAACCTGCTCCTTCCCCCTTTATTTCCTGTCTTGGTAAATACTGTCTTCAACCACCCATCCGGCCCCATCAACCCACACCTGGGCCCCTTATCATTAGTGATATCTCCTCCTTTACGCCTGCACCCAGCCTTGCCTCTGGCCCTGTCTGCTCTATGGAGCTCCTGCTTATCTTCCTGGCTGCTGCTACCTTGCTCCGGACCCCCAGAATCTCTTGCTACAGCCGCCCACCTCCTCTCCCCCGATGTGCGTTTGTCCACTCTCCGTACAGCTGCCAGAACAGAAGTCTACCCAGGCAGGTGTGCTCATGCCTTTCTCCTGCATAAAATTCTCCAGGGCTGGGCTTCCCCAACGCCCTCAGAATAAAGTGCCAACTCCTTAGTGGGGTGTCTAAGGCCCTTTCCGATCATGCCCGGTGGTCCTGAGCATGAGGAGTAGGACTCAGACCTGGGTACAAAACTTGGCAGCATTTGGGCTGTGTGTCTCCAAGGAAGTTACTTAACCTCTATGAGCCTCTGTGTTCTCCTGTATATAAAGAGGACAATGTGTCTCCTGGGGTGCGGAGTGTTAAAAGATGTCCTGTCCATGCCACTTTGTTGTTCTGTATGCCCCTTTGCCTCTAGCACAGTGCCTCGCTTGTTGTAGGCATAGAGTGAATGGGACTCACTGCATACACTCGCTGCCAGCCTGTTCCTTGCTGTCTCTTCCTGTCAGCTTTCAGCTCTTACTCTCTGCTCTAGCCATCCTGAGGGGCCCATCCTCCCCAAGAGCCAACGCCCTTCCTGACCTCCACACCAGGTCACAATGTCTGCAGCTCTGCCCCCACTCCCTGTCCCCATGCACCTCTTTGCGGGACTTACACCTCGTCATGGAGGTTCTTCTCGGGAACCGTCTGCGGGAAGTTTCTCCTAAGCACATCAAGCCTGGCTGCTGCTCCTGAGGGTTTCCATGACAGTCCTTCGTGCCCCCACAGGGCGCTCACGTCAAAGTCTCACAAGGACCTTGCTCCCAAGTGTTCTTCCCAAGCACAAGAAATCTCGAGGGGGTAGGGATCATGTCTTATTTATCTTTATATCCCTGGGACTTAGCCTGGCGCCCCGGACATACTAGGCTGTCAATAGCCATTTGTGGGATGAACCGACCCAAACAGGACATTCTCTCCAGGTGGCTTTCAAACTCTTGCTCTCATTGTTTCTTGTTTATTTTTCTTCTCTCGGGAGCAGGGGGTGTCAGCCCATCGTCAGATTGTAAGCTCCCTGAGGGCAGGGCCCCTAGCGGCAATGTGACCTGTGGAATCTGGGAGAGGTGGTGATCAGGTATTGTACCACCATCTCGTTGCCTAGTTCCTGCAAGAAGGGAAATTGAAAGTGAGACGCTGGTCATCATCTACCCTTTGTGGCCATCAAACCCAGTGACCATGGAGGGTGCTGGGTGAGCTCAGAGGTCCTGTGGATAGTGGGGACCATGGTGGGATGGCGGTTGGGGTAGGAAGCGGAGAAATTTTGGGGAAGGGAGGTGCCAAACAGTTCAAACATTTCCCTAGAGGAAATGTCCAGTTTCTCACTCTGGCTGGCCAGGAGGATTGTGGACATGGGCCTCAGGGACTGTCGGGCAAAGACGGACCTGTCCCACCCGTCTGGATTTAGGTTCTGTTTTAAAATCATTTTCCAGGCAGATCAGAGAGCCTCTGAGTGTCACTTCCCGTCAGTTTACCTGTGAGCCTGTCTGTTTGCGGCTGGAGGGATCCCCGGGGGATTTCTTTACCTTGCTATCTGGGTTGAGCCTGCTCACCTGCCTCTCTGCCCGGAGGGGCGCTTCCGCATCTGTACCTTCTCCTGGGCATTACGGGGTCTTCACTGCTTTGGATCTCTAGCAGAAGTGGAGACGGATTGCTAGCCTCCCTGTCTGTGGCCCTGCAGAAGGCCAAGCAGGTCACGTCAGGCTGCTTCCTTCCCAAGTACCAGGGATGGCAGGGAGGGGACAAGGACAGGCCACCAGCCTGGTGCCCCCAGCGTCAGGGATTTGTGCCTGAGTTCTCTTTTTAGACATCTTTCTCCATGTCATAGCTTTCAAAGTTTCATTTCTTCTCATTGCTAAGAAATGGGGTCAGGCTGGATGCTCCACCGTGTTCGGAATCTAGAAGGGAGACCTCACTTGGGTAACTGGTCCTAAGACTAACCTCAATGAACATGGCTTTATCTCCCTTCCCAGCACAGGGGGTTTCCAGGGCAGGGATCCAAATGTTTTCTAACCCCACTGGGAGCCAGGCAAATTTGCAAGGGCTCAGCTCTGGGGTGGGTGGCATCTTAGGTGACACACGTCGGCGCTTCTTGCTGGGGAGTTAGGATGTCTGGAAGTGAGGGAGGTTGGAGCCTTTTCTCTGGAGGACACTCATCCACATAGGGTGCCAGAAGTGTGGGCTCACTGGGTGCGAGGGGCCCCCGAGGCAGCTGGTCTTAGGCAGAGCATTTCTTTCAAGGAGTCTGATTCTCACGTGAATGAGGTCTTGCTGTTGGCAGGGACATAAACAGTGAACCAGGGAAGTGCCCGCGAGCTGGCCTGCACCGGGCACCAGGTCCGTGGTGTACCTAGCTCTTCAATAGGCATCGACTCCCTGTCTCACCAGCACACACTTGATCTGACCCCCTCCCCCCGTCTCTTTCCGGGGAAGAGTTTTGCTCAACATTGTGCAGGGAGATCAAGAGATGAGGCGAATTAGATGAACCCTGGCAAAAATGACTTGGCTTCTTGAGCAGAGCCCTCCGTGGGCTGGGCGAGAGCAGAACAGTTAGCTGAGGGCTGCCTGCCCTGGGGGCACGGACTGCAGCCCCTTGTATTCTTTGTCTTTTCTACCCAGCAGAACACTTGTAGCTGTTGGTGGGTTCTGCAGGTGAACATTCAAGCATTCAGCCAGGACTATGAGCTAATAGGGACTGGGGTATGTATCTGGATGATGAAGGGAGGAGGCCTGAGCCTCAGAGAGACATTGGACAGAACTTTAGCCTGAAACACTTTGGGAATAGCCTGGAACTCGATTGACTAGAGTGGAGAACTGATTTTCCTCCTAGTCATACTGGAAGTGAGGAGAGGGGTGAAGAAGGAGTGGTCCTGAGGCCTGCGGGGTCCTCAGACTGCTCCTCTAAAACTGCGGTTTACAAAGCTTCCTAGTTGGAAACTTTTTTTTTTTTTTGAAAGACAGTGGAATTAAAAACGTCAGAGGGAGAGCCTGAAACTGAGATGTGTCCATTCATTCATTCATTCATTCACTCATTTATTTAAATAGTCTGTATAAGCACTTTATCTGTGCTCACCACTTGGCTGGACACCAAAAGAGAAAGGAGTCAGAAGGCATGGCTTCATCCTCTGGAGTTTATGGTTGGGAAATCAAGAGGCCTGGCTAGGAAATGACCAAGCACACCTGCAGCGTGGAAGCGGGGAGGTGGCTAGAGCTTGCTTTCTGTATCTTGGTTTGGATATGGGGCGCCCCATGGGCCTGGATTTTCCTGCAGTGGACTCTCTAATTGCCTTCAAGTTCTGAAACGTCTTATTTAAAACTTCCGAGGAAGGCCTTTGAAAAGATAACTCCCCTTTACCTTAGAAAACAGAATTCACAGACACGATCTCATCTCTTTTGGATGGTTTGGTCCTAATCCAACCCTTCCCTCAGTGTTCAACTTTGTCTAGTTGTTGGTGATTATTTCCTTTGAAAGCACTGGCATTCATTTCTCACTGTGTAAGGTTCTCCCGGGTATGGTACCAAGAAGACGAGAGAACTGCTTTTGTTTAATTAACAAACGAGTTTATATCCAGCTCCTGGTTACTAAGCTTTGGTTTGGTGGCTGAGTGCTGCATGAATATTGTGGCAACTGGTCTCCTTCCCTTCCTGAGAGTGTATTTCTTCCTTTCTCTTAAGGTGTGTTCCATACAAGCAGAATTACTGGGCATAACGTTGAGGTAAGATAGGTCAAAATTCAATAAGATGAGGTGTCAAAAGGATTGGCACTGTCTAGAATGTTGTGGGAGGGCAAGGAAGAGCCCCACAGTCTGGGAGGCCCCAGGGAAAGCTTTATGGAAATGAAATTTAACTGGACCTTGGGGACAGAACAGAGCCTGGGTGAGTTGAGAGAGGAGGCAGTTGCATTATCTAGAAAGGGATAAATTGAACTCTTCAGCGGAGTCAGGTGACATCTTCATGCAATAGATACATATATCATGAGGTTGTGCGTGACACTATATTATCCATCCTACCAGCCCACGCAAGGATTTTGTAGACCTTAGCTTGGGCTCCTCCATATTCTGCAGAAAGCCACAGGACATTTGCTGGTTATGATTGCTTCTTGGATGGTGAGGGTGAATGGCAGAAGAGAAACTTGTACCCTGGCTTTTACTCAGATGACATGAAGGGAGACAGTAGGCCAAGCTTCAGAGGTGGAGGGCAAAGACTGGTTTCATCTCCTTCATGTGCTGGCAAAGGCCCATTTCCGCCCCCTAGAATCTAACACCAGGGAAGAGTGACAAAGCCAGATTTAAAATCCACAATTGGATGTGGGTTCATGGGGACGTCTATTATTCATGAAAAATATCAGGGTTCTTTCCCAAGTTATCAAACCTGGGAACTCTGGAACTGTAGAGTGGGGCAAGGACAAGCTGTCCACTTGGGGCCTAAGATCCCACCAAGTTCCATATCCACTTGAAATGGTGGAGGAGGCATGTTGGAAATTAGTCGCTAAGTCAGTGGTTCAACCATTATGATGTTCACATGTGGGACAGGTTCAAATAAAAGTCACAAGGAGAAGTTAAATTCATTCCTGCAACCAGCAACTACTTCAGAACATGTCTTTTGGCTCAAGACGAGGGATCAAGCAAAACTAGCAATCTCACTCATCCTAGGAATGACAGATATATACTTTTAAGATATAAACAGTGCTAGAAAATAAAGGTGTCCTTGATGCCTGAAAGATAAAACATAGGTAAAATAAGACTGACGAAGGAAACACTGCTCCAAATGCTCCTGTAGAAGGACCACTGGGGGGAAAAATGTGTTCTGGGCCTGTAAGTGACAGGTATGTGGAAGAAAGGAGCCCAGAGTGTGGGATGGACAAATGGTTTGGGTTACCAGGAAGATCGGGCAGGCAAGTGAATTCCCCTATAACTCTGTTTGACCCTTTGGGTCAGGCCATGGACAATAGAAATTTCTGGGAAACTTGGGTCACAGGAACAGAACACTGCTCCAGGTAGCCCAACACAACCCAAGAGAAAGATTTCCATTTCTACAAAAACCAACTGGTTCACTCTACCAACAGTAGGTGCCTTCCTTTGCTTATATTGGACAGGCTGTAGTAAAGTCTGCCTATGGTGCATTCTACTCTCCCCACCAACAATCCTCGACCTCCCACCATTGCCAGGTTAACCATGATTTCCCAATACAAAAATGAGCCTGCATCCAGGAGTCACCAAAATTGTATGGAGACCATTACTCAAAAAAGGAATTACTGATTTCAGTGAACAAGAATTCACACAGAAGGAAATATCAATTGTGTAAGTGGAATAGGACTTAGTATGCTCATCAGACCCATAAAAAGTCCTTTGGAGTTAAAGCTTTACAATGAAAATTTAAAATTAACAGATGGTTTGGGTTAGTAGAGTGAACCAAAGGGCAAATTGGTGAAATGAGAGACAAAAACAGGCATTCTCTTTGAGCACATGGTCTAAAAGACCATGAGATAGAATTATGGAAGGGGAAAGTTGAGATGTGGAGAGCATACCCATAGATTTCGGAACCCATCCACAAGCAGTTTCAGAGAAAAGAAATGAGACAAAAATCCCAATATTAAATAACATGACCAAGTGCCAAGTAGGATGAGTGAGAAAATGCCTATAACAAGTTAGACTGCAATACTGAAGATGAGAAAACGATTAAAAACAAAATTCCCAGATAGAAAGTGAGGGGTTGTGTAAAAAGGAAAAAGGAAAAGAATGACGACTGACTTCTCACTGACAATACTAGATGCAAAAAGGCAATGGAGCTGTCTGCACAATGGAAGACCGCGCACCTGTAATGATCTACCCAGTAAAACTGCCATTCAAATGCATGGGTGAGAAAGGAGTCATTTTAGATGTCATAGACTCAGAGAGTTCACTATGCACTGGCTCCCACTAAGAAAATTACCAGGGCTCCCACTAAGAAAATTACCAGGGGTCACAAAAAGCAAAATAAAAGCAGCAGGTTCAGGAGTTTACTCTTTGCTAATTGCATACACTTCTGCCTTAAAGAGAGCAAAGCCAGGCAGTCTATCTCAATTGGTTCACTGTTGAAGAAGAGTGAACTGATCTGTCACCTCTCCAAGATAAATGGCAGGTACCCATAGTGAAGAGCTCTTAATCTTGAGCTGCCCTTGTGGGTTCATTATATTAAAGTGTGGAATGAGCATGGCGTGTTGACACTGAGTCCTGACTTTTCCCTTTGGCATTTAAAACGGGATGGCTACCTGACTGGGCTTACCACTATTCTATTAGATTTTTCTGTCCCTTAAATTCTCAAATTTATCTTATCATAAGATAAGACTGGGCTCTGAGATAAGACTGAGGGCAATTATCCCTCTCCCCAGAGCTGATGTTCTGGCTTGCAGTGAACTTATCTCTGTGGATTTTTTTTTTTAAATTGGAAGCTGGACAATGGCAGACTTCAACTGCTCTGAACAAGCGGTATATGCTCTGCTGAGCAGAGGGGAGCATGCCCTGGGGCTTCTGGGAACTCTGTCCACTGGCCTAGCATCTTGGGAAAGTGCCAGCCCCGTTGGATGGAGGGGGAATACCCGTCAGGCAGAGGCCCTGACAGTCTTGGGAAGTTATTGCAGGAGGCTGTGGAAGTCCGTGGAGGAATTGCATGGACAAAGCTCTGCTTTGGTAAACCTCGAGGGTAGAAATCAGAGTGAGAGGTGGCTTATGGAGGCGCCTCGAGGTGTTAGAGTCTAAGTCAGGGTACAGTCGGTTCTGCCTGGATCCCTAGACAGGCTCCTCACAGAGGAGGATTTGGAAGCTTTTTAAAAATTCATGTGATTAAAGTAATTCTTACCCCTCAAATTTCTCTCTCCTTCCTACTCTCATGTTTGGGAAAACCAAGTGGGGGCTAGTGTTCCCCCACACAAGTGTGCACCTCCTTGGTAGCTTCTCCAGTTCTTAGCCATCTTGGTCCTTGTGAGACAGATCTTTGTGGGTCCTCTTTTTACCTAGTCAGGCACATGTCCCTGGGCTTGTCCCTGGTTCTCCAGGTTAGGAAGACCAGATACCATGCTGAATTATGTTCCAAGGAGCCCCACGAACTTGGCTAATATTTTTTTTAGTCTTTTGATTACAATCATTGTGTAATCAAGAAGGGGGGGAGGGGACCCTCAAAGCCACGATATCCTGTTCCCTGGCTTTTAGGCAGGACCAAATTTAAAGCAGTTTCCTCAGATAACCATCTTCTTGACTTGGCTATAAAAATTTAAAATATCCCCCGAGAATCAGCTACTACAGTGTCTCTTGGAAACACTCTCTTGCATTTCTTGCAGTTGGGCAAGAAAGGTTAAGCTACTCCCCTGCAACCCACTATAATTGAGGGAAAGGACCATCATGAGGGTTCTCTGTGTACCCTTGGAAGACCACTGAATGCACACACGTGGCCTCACTCCATCTTTGCTCATAGATAAGGCAGCCTCTTGGTTCTGGAACCTGCTGTAGAATTTTTATTACACATTGGTGTTGGATTTGGCCCTCACATTTTTATTCGTGCTTCAGACACTATATGCCCATTGGGAAGCCTCTCAGCACAGCATTTCTTCTGAAATGATGGTAAAGTGCCTGCAGGGTGAGGAGTGTAAAAGGGCAGGCTGGGAAAGGAAGAGATCATTGTTTAGGGCCACCTTGCAAAACAGATCCTGAGAAGTACCAGCCCACAGGTACGTCCCCTGACCCGCCGGCATGCTTCTCCCACCTGCATGGAGAATGGACCAACCCCAATGGCCATGTTTCTCCATAAATCTCCAGCTAGAGAGGACTTTTCTGCAAACCTGGCTTGAATGAAATATTCAAAGACAGATGATTTCTGCCATAAGCACTCGAGTTCTTTAAGGGGAGGAAGTGGTATTGAAAGCTTGTCTTTTTTTCTTTCTTTCATCAAAGAAAACTGATAGGTAGGTAGGGTTGGATACTCTTGAAGCCTAAGACTCTGAGCCCTCAGTGCACAAGCTTTCCTAATACTCTTTCCTTCTTTCTCTTGCTTGCTTGAAGAGTTAGGACAGTCGGTTTCTTGGCTCTGAATGCCAGCTGCAAGGTTCACAATAATAGAATGGAAGATTTGACTGTGAACCACAAAAATTCAGTTTCCCCAAATACCTCATGTTGCAGAGGACAAAATGGAACCCAGGAAAACAGAGGACATTGAGGAGAGAAATAGACCTTAGCCAACCCCCTGCCTCAATTTCTCAGGGGTCTCTATCGTGACTTCCCACCATCCTGGGACTTTGGGTGACATGGGAGAACCTGGACTACAATTTCACATTCCCTTGACTTTGGTTCAGTGATTTCTTTTTTCTTTCTTTCTATAACTCCAAGCTTCCTCTGAAGCCCATAGGCCTAATTATGTACCAGGGTAACGTGACTTTAAAGAGTGCAAGGTGAACTTAACCCCCCAAGATCCTGTAACTGATGCTTGACTTTCCACCATTAGAGATTCATTCTTTTGTAACTGGGAGGCTGGACCGCCTGTTCCAGAGTTTCCTCCTGAGATACAGATCCACCAAGAGTTGATGGCTAATACACTGGAAGACCTTTTCTCCAAACAGCTGATACCCAACAGGGTGATGGTGGGATGGAGGAGGAGCCAGGCCAGGACCCAGAGATCTGGGAACACATTGAAAAAGGAGGATCGATTTGGTGACATGGGTCCTGTCTCCATTGTAGACATTC